GAGCACTTTTTAAAAAATTCCATTCAAATATCTTACCAACTTATAAGTGTAACACACAATAAATATTCTCACAGTATCAACAACCTTGGTTTGTTTGCTTGTTTGTTTTAAGAAAAACTGCTTAAAGTGACTCAAAACCAAAAACATTGGTAGCAGGAAATAGTCCTCCTTGCAAACTCTGAGATAATCAGAAGAAAGATTTAAACAGCAATGGTAAGAGCTGGCAACAGTGGGCAGAAAGTTAGCCCAAACTGGGATTAGCACCCCACTTTAACCAAATGGGATGCTAGTCCCAAATGTTCTGACCAGCTGTATTCTCATGGTCTCCAGAGAGAGCTGCCTGTCTGCCCATCCACACATCCAATGACTTAGGTGTCCCGTGACAAGTGAGAAAGCCAAGCTCTCAAGACACATAATAAACTGGGAGATAAAGGACCTTTATCCCTGGGAGAGAAAGTTTCAGTAAGAAAGAGCTGTGTGAAACCAAACTCACTAGAGTCACAATTCAAAGACCTAATTTCTCCTGCGAATTCAAATTTTGAAATAGGATAAGGAGAAATGTTTGCCTTCCACTCTTGGCCAGACAATATGAAGATCTGAGAAAACAAACCTTTGTTGACCATTGTCAGTTTTTCCAAGAGCCCATCTGCAGACTCCTGAGAGAGTGGAATGTCCCAAGAATCTTCTCAAGGTCACCTGAATCTACAGGAGAGGAAAAATATCTTTTCTTTCTACTCTTCTAAGTTCTTGGCCGGGTCTCTAACAAAACACAGATTAACAAGAGAAACACATACAAATTCAACACGCTCTGACACACTGAAGCCTTCGCAAGAAACAGAGACCAGGAGACCAGGGGAAAGCTCTGTGGCTTAGAGCCCCGGCAGTGCAATTGTGAGGCCTTGGGTTCAAGCCTTGGTATTATAGCATCAGCTGAGTACAATCTAGACAGCTCTGCTCCTTGAGCCCGGCAATTCTACTGCCTGAGAGGGCCAAGGTCACAGCAATCTGCTGTCAGCACTCACACAGGTTTGTGTGAACATCACAACTAAAGGGGTACGACTCACTCTCCCCCTCCCCACGCACGTATGTACAGCAACTAAAAGACAAGCAGGCACTAGGGCCAGGGGGCAGTATCCCTAAAATCACAAGAACTCCTGGTGAACACTAAAACCAGAATGGGCAAAGATACAACTAAAAAGTACGACCCCTGGCAAGCTTGATGCAAACATCACCATGAAAGGAGTACAACCTGCAGCGAGCGCCACAAATAATTGTGTGAGCACCATAAGCCAGACAGGCGTTCTCCCCCATCCTCAGAGGAACAACAAGGGAGAGAGAGGAGATGAAGCATAATGAAATGAAGATTTCCCCCCAACCAAAATGGCTAAAACTAAATGGTTTTATGTAAAATTGATGAAGAGCAGAGAGTTATGGGAAAATAAAGCCAAAAGGCTGTTATTGGCTAGCAGTCGTCAAAAACTGGGGGAAAGAGCAAGGCCTTGTTGGCTCCCATCCCTCTTGCTTCCTTCTCATGAGACAAGGCTACTCCTCTCACACAGATACAGAGAGGGCACCTCTTCCAAAAAGGGCTTTGGGCCTGCTACAGGGAAGCTCCTTCTTGCACTTGACCTTTCAACCTCTTCAGTACATTTCTGAAGACAGTCCAAGGTTTATAGCACATGCCTCGCATGCAGCCAAGCCCTGTTCTGTCCCTAGCACTGAAGATGGTTTCCTGAGAACTACCAGGGGTGATTCCTGAGCACAGAGCCAGAGTAAGCTCTGAGCACTACTAGGAGCATCCCGAAAACTCCCCCAAACAAACAAACCAACAAATAAACCTCTTCCACTTAAAAATGTTTAATATTCTAACATGTTATGTTTTGGGATAGCAAAGTTAACTCCTCATTTTCCCTCACTTTATTTCTTAGGACTCTTAATGAAAGTTTTGCTAGGTATTAGGAATGGACATTAGAGACTAGGATTAATCTAGAGTGCTCTCTCTAGATTCTCTTCCAAGTTCAATGCAAACCTCTCCAATCCAGCACCACAATCATGACCTTTGTTTTTGTCAAGAAGAAGACCATTGAGAATACCAGATTGATTTTTTTTATTGTTTTTATGTATGGAAAATATGGCCATAAAGTAAGAGTAATGCTCCAAGGATAGAAAAGTACAAATCTAGAGCAGGGACTTATTTTTATTCTAAGAGTGCCTGCAGGGTCCCTGCAATATGAACTCAGTTGCAAGAAAGAGAAGCTCCAGGAAAAAAGGATATCAGGAAGAAAACTCAAGAGCTACTAATGGGAGAAGTCAGAGCTTTAACATAGAGGAACCAGGAGAATAAATAAAGAAACAATTCACCTGACAGCAGAGAGAGCAAAAGGGTGATAAATAAACACGAGGATAGCTAAACAACGTATAATTTCTGGAGTTAAAAAAAAAGTGTCAGAACTATAATATTTAATAAAAATAGTTCCTATCAAAAGAAGAACGATTCAAGACAAGGATGAAGGTACTTTTTTTTTTAACAATTACTTTGCTAAGTATAGCACTGCACTGTAGCACTGTCCTCCTGTTGTTCATCGAGTTGCTTGGGCAGGCCCAGTAACGTCTCCACTGTGAGGCTTGTCATTACTGTGTTTGGCATATCGAATACGTCAGGGGGAGCTTGCCAGGCTTTGCCGTGTGGGCGAGATACTCTCGGTAGCTTTCTGGGCTCTCTGAGAGGGGTGGAGGAATCGAACCAGCTCGGCCGGGCTGGCCACGTGCAAGGCAAACGCCCTACCGCTGTGCTACCGCTCCATTTCTCTTTTTAAAAAAATCTTAACATTTCTTAAAGGCAATCACTAAAATAAGTAGAAGGAAAAACCTCCCACATCGTTATAGAGTAAAATGGATGGATATAAGAAGAAAATTAAAGAAAGCAAGTTTGTCTTTTATAGAATAGAAAGATCTCAGGCCATGGATGAAGAAGTTCTGAGTTCAAATCCCAGCTCCGTATTCATTCTGACCACACTAACTGCCAACTTTTGAAACTATAGTTTCTTATCTTTAAAAAAGAGGTAGTCTTACAAACTCTTAAGCTTAGGATTTAAATATGCAAACATATGAACATATTAGTATAGAACCTGGCACAAAGATATACAAATTTTTTTTCCCGCCTCTTCACAACACAAAAGTATATTAACTAATAGACAGATCTGCCTTAGTTTGTCCAGACTACTGTAATCATGAATAGATTATAGATTAGACTCTAACCAATACAGAGAATTCTGCCATATTTTCCTCTTTGAAATTTTTCCTCTGTGTATGCCTTCCTTATGCAAGACGGAAAAAATATTCAAAATAAAATTATATTATACCTCAAGTGTATTTCTTTTTCCAAAACTATGCTTAAATAAGCTTAGATTTTCAGAAGAAAAAATTAAGTTGAATTGGAAACAAATGCCCCTTACGTAGTAAAATGCTTAGCGTGAACACTTCATATGAAATAAAAGAAAACCCAGCTGCTGCTTACTTGGATCACTACCTCTCCCTATCCTCACACCTCTCTGTATGGAAGTAAAAGAATGGCAAACACACCACTTCAAAGATGTGTGATTTACTACAGTTAACTAAAATAGTTTTTCTAAATTCAGAATGAGCACACAACCCCAAAAGATAGTAAAAATAATATCTTTGTTATAAGATTATTTCATGGAAGTCACATATGGCCTATATCAAAAATAAAGGACAAAAAAAAAGAAAAGAAAAGAAAACATTTCATTCAACACTTTTTATTTTAATTCTCCATGGTCAGATTTAAATTCTAAGCTCCTGTTTTCTTTTTTACATAAGAAGTGTTCAGATATTTCCCATCTGCTTTTTTAGAGAATTTAATTTCCATATGTGTGAAAGATAAACTTCAAAGAGAAAAACTACCCCCAAATCAAAATCTAAAATGAAATATACATACTTCCAACTATTCATCTCTACCAGTACAAAGATTTTATTCCCCCAAATTTAAAACATGCATGTCAAATAGTCAGCAAAGAGATACAATTCGATTAAATCAGATAAAAATTTTAAAAGCTAAAATCAGTTTTCAACAAACCAACAGCATGAACTAATGCTAGATGGATATTTTATTAAAATAGAAATGGAAAATCCTGCTGCATCAATAGATATAACAGGAAAAAATAAGGGAAATTTAATGAGTGGAAATCTTAAATAGTCAAATTATGTATAAAACAGATGGCATCAGCTTAAACAGCAGACAAAGTAAACAAGATATATGACCCTATAGTCAGACTGGCTGAATTAAAATCCTAGGGGCAGGGCTGGAGCGATAGCACAGTGGGTAGGGCATTTGCCTTGCACACAGCCGACCCAGGTTCGATTCCCAGCATCCCATACTGTCCCCCAAGCACCACCAGGAGTAATTCCTGGGTGAAGTGCCAAGAGTAATCCCTGTGAATCACCGGGTGTTACCCAAAAAAGCAAAAAAATAAAAAATAAATTAAAAAAAAATCCTAGGGGCTGGAGCAATAGCTGATAGCTTAGCCAGTAGGGCATTTGCCTTGCACGCAGCCAACCCAAGTTCGATTGTCAGCATTCCATATGGTCCCCTGAGCACTGCCAGGAGCAATTCCTGTTCCTTAGTGCAGAGCCAGGAGTAACCCCTGTGCACTGCCAGGTGACCCAAAAAGAGAAAAAACATAATTCAAATCCTAGCTCCAATTACTATACAACTTAGGCAAACTATTTAGCCCACTTATATCTCACTTTCAGAATCCGCAAAGTTGGCACTAGCATGGCCTTTAATAGGATTGCAGTAGGATTAAATTAGGTAACAGACATAAAGCACAATGACTGGCACATAGTAAACATTTAATAATTGTTGGCTAGTGATATAATTACTATTCTCTTCCCAAAATTGTTTTACAATACCACTTTAGCAGACATATCCAAAAATACCTTAGGCAGTGGTTAGATAAAGAAATTATATTTTAGTTACTTACTCCCTGCTAAGAGCAGATAATCCTGATGTTCGTTATACAGCATCCAGCAACACAATGACCTAGAAGACAATAACAAACCATCACAAATTAAATCATTAAAAATTATCTAAGCATAAGAGGGTAGTAAATCGTTACACAAAGCTAATAACTAATAATTAGGTTACAATATAAAGGAATTAAAGACATTTTCCTATAGTATACCACGCTGAACAATTTTGAGAGGCAACCATGACACACCATAATAAAGGCAAAAAGAATCAAGAACCATCAACTATTCTGTTCAACACAGCAAATGAATAATACCCCTCCTCAAAGTTTTACAGGTTGAAAGCAAGGAGGCAGGGAGAGCAGTAAGTGAGAGATACTAAGTTATTCAAAACACGTTCCTATGAGTGAAAAAAATGATTCTACACATGTAGCTTGCATTTTACTTGGAGTCTGAGGAAACCTAAACAGTGTTAGAAAAAATAACACCTGTTTTTAAAACCTACTAGTTGAAGATGAAAAAAGGAGATTCTTAAAAATGCTTGAATTCTTAAGGCCATCACCACTGTCAAAACCCTTTACCCCTTGTCCATTCCAACTGCAAAAATCATGTGAGGCTGAACTGTTAAAATGGCAGCTACCATCATTGGTAATCATGGGAGTATACTTCTAGAGGAGGAATATAGAAACTACTGATTTAGTAGTCACTAATTTACTCTTCACTTCAAAGCAGACTTGTAATCGGAGTTCTTTTTTAAAAAATGAAACTGTCTAGAATTTTTTTTTAGCAGCTAGAAATGTATTCATCAGTATTCTCCATTATCCTTTTCAGCTGGCAATAACTTGAGGTTATAAAGCAAAGGGGAAAAAAGGGCTTGAGTGATTTTAATCAAAGCATGTATTCTAGCCCTGTCCTGCAGCATACTGTAATATGAGAAATGCTCCTGCCTCACATTCCAAAAGAAATGAATTTTTATGAGAATAGCCCCCTACATTAACTGCTGCCTCTCTCTTTGTCGTTGATTTTACTCATGAAACAAATATTTCTCAGCATCTATTTCTTTATTCCGAATGCTACACTAATTGCGGCATCATCCTCAGGGTGGGGGAAACATGGGTCAATAATAATCTTACTGACATTTCATAAGAGTTTAAAGTAGAGCAAAAGCGTCATAAAACGCTTTTAGGAGTTCATGGATACATATAAAAATTGTCCAGGACCAACATGCTACTTACATTCAACAAAATACCTAAGGGCTAAGCTCAAAACATTTCAGGTACTTTAGGGTGTAAGGCCTAAAGTGGATAATCAAAAGCAGACAGTCCTTAGAATTAGTTTCATCACCTATAAATAACAAATTTATTGAAATCATTTCATCTGCAAACTCTGGTTTTCGTGTTTATGAAAGAGAAATATAAATGTTTACCTTAAAGATTGTGAGGATTGACCATAAATGTGCATTAAATGTATATGATTAATAGAGGCCCAAGGCTAGAGTAATTTTATGTTTCTTAGGAATATTTAAATAAATAGAAAAATATGCAGTGATATTAAAGAAAGGATTGAAAGAAAAAATCAAGAAATAGTTATAATTTCTATACCTATTGGTCAAATGGAAGAAGTTCCTGTCTCTTCCCATAATTATCACCTCTTCCCATTATTTTTTCACCTCTTCTTAATTACTCTAGAGAAAATAAATGCTCTCTTTGTAACATGGGAGTTTAAAAAAAAAAGGAAGTCTGAACAACAAGGAAAATGATAAACTGATCAATCTGTCAAACCTCTATGTAAATCATTATATTGACAGGATTGTTTTGTTTTACAAGTTTCACCTTAAAATACATATAATTTATAAAAATTAAGATTAGGTATATTAGTCATTCCACACCTCACTCTGAATTAATCAAGTAACTATGGATTAGCTATCAGTTCTGGGATAAACAGAGGTTAGGGTAGGATAAAAGGGATAGAAGAAAGAGAAATGAATAATTTTAATACATGGGCTCTTGTGAAATGAGAGGTATCATTATCTGGTGGAGGAAATAACAGAGCATAAAAGGAAAAGATTGCAAGAAGTAACAACCAAGGACTACAGACAAATACTAGTGATGAACGCGCCATTTACTCTGGCTCTTTAGAGGTAGTAATTGCTAAGATGCCTGACTGAAAACCAAATGCTATTACTAACTACCAATATTTACCACCCATCAAACTAAGAAACTGGATACCATATGATTTGAAATATGTGAGTCTACAAATATGAAGTTCTTTTATCTTACGATCAATGGTTAAGGATTACTAAGAAGCAGCATTATTCAAATTTACTTCTTTTCCTTAAAAGCTTTTCAGAACAACTTTTGCTTACAAAAGTTAAGCAAAAAGTCCTTCAGTGAAAATTATATCCTAACATATAAAACTGTGCAGAGAAGTTCCCTTTCAGTGTCAAGGGTAGCAGAAATAAAACTTAGAAAGAGATCTTCAGGTATCAAAAATGTTCCTGAGAATGATAAACACAAGTTACTTTGAGTCAAAATCAAATTCTACCAACCTATGAAAGTAAGTGAAATGGCTTTCAGGTTTGTGTAGAAATAACTATGGTATAAGTTGAGGCAGATATACTATGTGTCATATCTAGCAGTTTCACCAAATAGAACACCACCAAATATTGAAAATAATTTGTCATTTCATTACCAATGAGTTCCATCCACAAGGGCTTTCATACCTTAAGATACAGTTATCATGGCAAATCTTATTTTTAATTAACCAGTTATCTTTGGAGTTGGCAACCACTGACATGTTTCATTTTGTCTTTTTACTCAAAGCCTTTTAATTAAGGGAAGACCCCTTTGAAGAGGAAAGTGAGGTTACTTCAAAATCTGGTACTTCCCATTCACTTTTCCAACTATGTTTTCCAAACCAAGAACAAAAACAAAGAAGTAATGAAATTAATGACATAATAGCCCTATAATAGTATACCATTTCAATTTGATGAAGTGGAATTTGCAGCTAAATTATGGCCCCCCCAAAGGTCCAGAGTTTATTTAAAAAAAAAAAAAGAGCAGGACTGTTGATCATAGTGGTAGAGAAATGCTGTATCTAATCAGAGCTTTAACACCTGCCTGGAAATAAACCTGGAGGCAAGAACAAGCTAAACAGCAGCAGGATAACAAGAAGCCTCTAGAATTAAGAAATGGAAAAGTGAGAAAGGATTTTACTCTAGTGATACCTTCTTTAAGATCCTCAACAAGTTGCCAGGATGTAAGACAGTAAATGTCATCACTTACCAAGTACTACTTGCTATGACCATAATACACATTTCTCCTTTATTTGTACAATGACCACGTGAAACAGGAATAATGTTAGCGTTGCAGGAATAAAAGATAATGACTAAAAAGCCCAACAACTTTCTACAAGATCCTTTTAATGTGTGCATAAAAAGCTATCATTAAATGTGCTGTAAATCAGTGCCTAAAATAAAGTTTTAAAAATATCCATTTATGTCCTACAATGTTTTTCTCATTGCCCACAAAGTTCCCAAACCCTCCATCCTATATGAAATCCAAATGCCTATCCTCTACTGCTTATAGAGAACACTTGGGTTTCCAGAGCTCAGAGTTTCTTCATTCTTTTGTTAGAGGGAGTAGGGAGGGGTGTATAGTGAGAGAGATCATTCCTGGTGACGTTTGGGACCATAAGCAGACCTTGTGCAAGGTAAGTGCCCTAATCCCTGTACTATCTCTCAGGCCCCTATTCTTAATCTCCTGTTGAACAAAACCACCTCAAGAGAGAAAGTTCTCTCTGTAGCATCTCTCAGGTCCATGCATTCCTTATATAAGAGGTCTTTTCCAAATGTTCCCAGGAAACCAAGCAATACTAATTCATACTCACTTGCAAAAATCTCTTCAAGCCTCATACATATTATATGTCATTAAATGCCCCAAGTAGAGACCCTGTTCATTGTGGTACGTATTTATTAAGACAGGCTATACAATTTTCTGTCCACCTTCCCCTCAAAGTGACTAAATAGCCAGGATATACCAGACCCATTCTTTTACCTATTCATTTATCCTCATTCCCTTAAGAGCCAAAAAAAAGTTCTCCCTTAAAAAAAAAAAAACACCCTGCCCATGATTAGTTTCACTCAAAGATATATTCTCTTCAAGCAGAAAAGGTACTCACTGAATTGGAAATCAAATCCGGTTTTTCAATTCTGTTTGTTTTTTACTCATTGTGTTACCTGAGAAAACCACTCAATCTTTCTGGAACCATTTATTATACATAAATAAAGGAAATTAGACTAAGTGCAAAAATAATTCCCAGTTCCACAAAAGTTTTATGCAAAGCTACTAGCAAAAGCACTCACTGATAAAAAAAAGAAAAGTCATTAATTTAAAATCACTTAAGGTACATAAAACTTTATATACAACCCTTTAAAACCACCAAAAAACGTAATTTCTTAATTTGAAAGACAGAAAGGGCTGGAGCGATATAGCACAGCGGGTAGGACGTTTGCCTTGCACGCGGCCGACCTGGGTTCGATTCCTCTGTCCCTCTCGGGGAGCCGGGCAAGCTACCTAGAGTATTCTGCCCACACAGCAGAGCCTGACAAGCTCTCCTGGCGTATTCGATATGCCAAAGATAGTAACAACAAATCTCACAATGGAGACGTTACTGGTGTCCACTAGAGCAAATCGAACAACAGAAGGACAGTGCTACAGTGCAGAAGATTGAAAAGGTTGTTTAAATGGACTGTTTTCCATATTTTCCATATCTGCCACAGGGATGAAAACCCAAATCACATCTGAAAGACTACTCAAATATAGGAATTCTATTTACTATTCACTAAAATGCCATAGGAAAAAATTTTAAATAACTACATACTCAAAACTACAAAAAATAGTGCAAAGTCTACATCTACTTTGTATGGTTCATTAGACTTTTATACTGGACTACATTACTAAGTGACATTTGCAGAGTCAAACAGAATTCTTTACTTCTAATTTTATTGTTAACCAACAATCAATCGTCAGTCAGCTACACCAACAAAGAAAAATATTTTGGAA